GGACGCAGTCAACACTGGAGTCCAACGACGCAATGGAAAACGGGGCGGCGGGCGAAGTCAATGGCCGGCGAGGCTTCCTGTCGGGCTTCGCGTCAAAGATTGCCAACCGTTTCAAGTGGGGTGTGCCAGTGGGCAAAGCACGGTCGGCTCTGAAGCGCTTCTCGACGACGGGCCCCAGCAGCTACCCATCACCCGACGCAGCCTCGTTCGATACCGACTTGGGTAGCGTGACCATTGGCCGGATTACGACTGCACAGCCTTACAAGCCGCGCCCCGTGTTCATTGGCAGCGTCCAACGCATCAACGAAGAGTCGCCGCAACCGGGCAGCGCGCGGTGGAACCGTGACTCAAAACCGGGCAGTCGGGCTTCGGGCGCTGTGACGAGCAGAAATGGAGCGTCCAGCATCCAAACACCCCGTACCGGCGTCCTTGACCGCCGGCAGCAAGGATACAACCCCATGCACTTTAGTGACGATGACGACGGTGACGAAGACGATGACGACGGCGAGAGCATACTGAACGGCAGCGACTTTGCGGCCGACGAGGCCATCCGGCTCGACCCGCCACAGCCGGCCTTTTTGGCGCCATCTAGGGCGGAGCGCGACGCCACCGATTTGTCGCAAGACATTGCCAGCTCCTTGAGCAGCCGCCGGCCCACGAGTGGCAGCAGCGGCATGAGCGGCATCTCGGCGGCCATGGAGGAGGTCCGCAGCTTGCTGTTGTTGTCCACAGGAACGCCTTCCAGCGGGCGCAGCCTGGACAGCCGCCAACAGATGCGCCGCGACAGCGACGACAACGGCCTGTACGCGGCGTCGTCCAACTCGTGGGAGACGCTCCCTTCGTCGAGCGAGCCCAACTGGACCAGCCTCTACGAGTATGTGCTGCCGGGGCAGCGGGCGGCGGCCGGGCCTCTGAGTCACTACGGCCACGGCGCAGCCACGACCACGGCGACAGCGACGGCCACCGATGCCAGCAGCAACGAGCCGCCGACGCCCGCTACGGGCGTCGGCCTGCCATACGCTTTTGCACGGCCACAGCAGATCCACACGGGCAGCCCTGGGTCGGCGGCGCAACACCAGGCCCAGGCGCGTGCGCGGGCAGCTCAAGCCGAGGCCCATGCTCAGGCGCAGGCGCAAGCCCAGGCCCAGACTCATGCACAAACCCAGCAGAGAGCGAAAACGGCGGCCGGCGCAAGCCCATCGTCGCATGACGACGTCGCTGCCAGCCCGCGCACCGCGGCGTACCTGACACCCGAGACGCAAATGTACCGCGAGCCCGGCAGCGCCGGCAGCAGCAACGACGAGGACAACGACTTGGCTCTGGAGGGCCGCGGCTACCGCCACCCATCGTCGTACTATGGCGAGTCTCCGTACGCGATGACGAGCAACGACTACGAGTACCCGCCGCCCTTTGTGGCAGGCGACGGGACCTATCACGCGCACGACGGTGGTGGTGATGTCGTCGGCCACGGCAGCGACGGCAGTGCGTCGAGCATCGGCGTAGCCATGTCCAAGTACCCCAAGGACCCGAAGATGACGCAGGCGTCTCTAGCGTCCGCGGCGAGCAGCGGCATCCGGGCCTTTATCTAAGTCACAGGCTCAGAGGGGGCCGTGGGGCGTCGAAACAAAAAGTACATATCTCACAGTGGCGCTTTGCGTTTGCCTGCGGACACGGCATTTTCTCAACGGACAAAATCGAGAAGAGGGCGATACTTGCACACGCAGTTTAATGTTAATATTTGGGAGGGTAGTAGGGTAGAGAGAAAGGAGACAAGGAGAAAATGGGGAGTCTGTCTGTTTTGATTTTCTTTTGTCATTTACATCTTCTCGTTGGTTCCTCTTTGCGTGGGCTACTGCTCGAATTGGTGGTGTTTCGGGCGTTATTTTGGGTTGTCTTTTGGCCGGTTTTGTTTTTGTCGTCGATCCCCTTTGACCCGACCGATCGAGTGATACCTTGTTCTTTTTGTTTGTTACCAAATACAGCACACGCTTAACATACTTTCATTTGTCTCTTTGCGTTCGTCCTCCGTTTCTGGCGATATGACCAAGGCAGATATGAGGCCAACCAGGGCGCAAACAACAAGCAGCGTTAGCTTGGGTCACCCCTTGGGCCGGCAGCAGCCAACGGGCCAATTACCACTCTCGGGAGTGACCGTCTGATCCGTCTGGGCGGTTGGGTGGTTGCAGACCAAGAAGCAAACCAACAAGTCGACTGTTGCACTTTGTTCCTGGTGAAATTATGGTGGTGGCAGTCACTGCCTTATGAGTTGTTCCGCTAATGTCTTCACTTCGGCCTCCCTCAACGATCAAACAACCGCAAAGCCTTGTTGTGGCTGCCCCCATCAGCCAATGGCGACTTTCAGCTCTTGTCTTCTTCCCAATACACACATCCACCGGGTCGCGTTCCGGAGCAGAAATACGGTCTGGACGTGGCTGTGCCCGTCGTGTGGCAGAAGGCCTGTTGGAAGGTCGCGTAAATTACACCCGAAAAGGGCGGCGGCCATGTCGTCCAGGAGGGATTTACAGGGGGTGTTGCAGGGCGTTGTATGGGTATTGAAGGGAAAAGAAGGCAGTTCCAAGCTGTCATTGGGTTGGTCTCCTTCATGCCTTCTAAGGCGCATTTCGAGTGTCTCCTGTGTGCCATGCAGCAGTCTCCTTTCTACAACGTTGTGCTTCGTTGAATGTGCACAAAAACAGCCTAGTAAATCAACCTGACTGTCTCGATGTTGTGTGTGCTCCTGAAAGGAGGGAGCACACGGCAGGAGGCCAAGACTTGACTCGAGCAGTATTGGTGTTTGTGACGCAACAGAGTGCGAGCGAGGCTGTGAGAATCCATGTGTGCAGTCTGTGAATGTGCACCCGTCTAGATTGGGCGCTCGTTTGGTATATTAGAAACGGCATCGCCACTTGCCAAACCAAAGACGGGAACACGCGCAGTCTCGTCCGCCTGTATCGTTCTCCACGATCACTTCGCGGCGTCTTGGCGCCTCTTTCTTCCCTTCAGTTTGCCTCACAACCCACACCGATCACAGCCTTCTCGTCACAGGCATCCAATACGACCCCCCTCTACAGTAGTTCTACGCTTGTTTTGTTGCCGTATCGGTTCAGGCCGACGAACAACCAAACAATCATGCTGTCCCGTGTCTCGTCCATGGTGGCCACGGCAGGCTCTCGTGCCTCCCGAACATCGTCGTCATCCAGGTATGTGCTCCCACGCCCAACGTATCTCAGAACAACATGTACGCAAATACTGACTGTGCAGTCTCCACACCCGCTCGTCGAGCCCCTCCGCCATCCAGGCCTGGTTCTACGAGTCGTTCCTCGCCCACACTGACCAGTACGAACGTCTTGTCGCCACCGGCAGGCCCCGCGTCGGCGTGTCTGCCCTGGCATCCGTCAGCAGTGTGTTGGGCCTCGTGAACGGCGTCCCGAACGGCATGGCCAACGGCATGGCCAACGGCATGGCCAACGGCATGGCCAACGGCTGTGTTGCCGTTCCCAGCTACCCCACCCACATCGAGTTCGAACTCCCCGACGCAGCCACCGGTGCCGCCGTCATCGGTGGTGTCGCGCCCGGCCTCGCGGACGTAAACCACAAAAAGGTTCACACGTGGCCGCTAAGCAAGACGGAACTCAAAATGTGGCAGGTCTAGGCACACGTGGAGACGCCAAGCATGGGAACCTAGCCAAGGCAATGGGTTGTCTAGGAAGAGAGTCGAGAGCTGAGACGCGAGGGACAATGAGAAGATCTGTCAAGAGAGGCCGGAGTGGTCGAACCAGTAACAAGTGACACGTCGAAAGGTTTCACTCGACCGAGGAGGATGGCTCTGTTTCCTGCGGCTGTTGTTTTATCTTGTCGGGGAGGTCGTAAATCATCTGCGAGTAAACTTTCGTTTATTCACTCTGCAGTATAACCTACCAAGTTCCTATCGCTATTGAGTTCAAACTAGATCATTAATGGTCCGTGTCGCAGCCTCGCCCAAGTGAATTTCGTCGCCTTCCGATGGATATTGATAGCCGCCACTTGACTGACAGCTGGCGGAGGCAAATGACGGGACCCGATATGTCGTAGTTTGGCAGTACACGAAAATCAGTCAGCAAACGACGAACCGTCTGCCAGCACCAAACAGAAGAGGCCAGCAAAGCATTGGTGGAACGTCTTGGAAGCTTCTAAGCAAGCAGCGGGCTGAAAGCTTGGGCCACTTTTGCCTCTGTGACCCTCTGTTCCGTCCCCTCCGCCTTGTAGAACGGGGCCCACTTTGGGGGAGTCAAGCCTACACAGTAGCTAACGGAGTAAAGTTAGGTGGGCAACAGTCCACTCGCCGCCTTGCAGCGAAGCCAAGTCATCCAGGCAAAAGGGCAAGTCGTCATCCCAGCAGTGCCTAGCACCATGTACCCCCACCACCCAATTTGTATGCACCGGCTACATTGACGTGCCCGCCGTCTCTGGCCGGACAACGCCTGCCGCTGCCCGAAACGCAGCGCATTGTCTCGCCTGTCCGCCCCATTCTGGCCATTGTGCTGCCGGGGCGCACCACGGGCTCCTAACAGCTAACGCTCCTACAGGCAGACAGATGCAAGCGTAGTATCCGTTCCTGCCTGTCTGGCCACACGGTAATAATTCCTTCCAACCATTTCGCTTGTCTTCTATTTCGTACCTCCTTCAGCATCATCTCCATCCAACTCTTTTATCTCCTTCCTCTCTCTCCTATCTCCATTCTTTTTCTCCCACCAACTCTACTTCCAACCACAGCTCCTTTTTCCTCTTTTGTTGAAACCCGTTGAGTTCCTGCAACTCTATTGTGTTTCAACTGCTTCCTCCCTTTGTACCTCCCACGCCGAACGTGCAAGAGAGCTTCGCTTCCCTCTTGCTTTGCCCGTGGAGCCTCATCCTCCATTTCTCCATTCTCGCCCAGCCTCCGCCTTGACACCTCGAGGACGCCCTGTTTTCCTATCGTCATCGTCACACCTTGTTTCCAGCCTCAGTCCCCATCCGTCATCATGTCTGACCATCCGGACGTCAAGCCGGACGTTGCGCCCAAGAAGCACAAGGTCAACCTCAAGTAAGTGCACTGCCTGCCATTGCTCCTACATCTCGTCTCGAGATGGTTTTTGCCCAGCTCTGCCCCCGCCTCCCGGCTTCTCCGGGGCGCAGGCTTGTGTCCGCTTCTTCTTTGCGCAGCATGCTAACGTGTTGTCCCTCACCACAGCGATGCTTCTGGAGCCGACCGCCGCGATGTGAGTAAACCTCGGATCTTTCACGCTTGTCCCTGCGGGACGACAACGACGACGACCTTGAGCGACGACCATTGTCCTCTGTTTCCGACAAAGACAAAAACCATCAACCATGTATGCTAACAGCCTCGACAGGAAGACGATACTGCCACCGCCATCCTGAAGAAGAAGAAGAAGCCCAACCAGCTCCTGTACGTACAGCCACATACAAACTCCGATGGCCGACATCGCCCCAAGTGGCCGCACCATCTTCGCTTGTATTTTAGCATACCAGATTGCTAACACACACACACAGCGTCACCGACTCCACCAACGATGACAACTCCATCATCATGCTGGCGCCCAGCACCATGGACACCCTGCAGCTCTTCCGCGGCGACGCCGTCCTTGTCCGCGGCAAGAAGCGGAAGGACACCGTCCTGATTGTCCTGTCCGACGACGAGCTGGACGAGGGCAGTGCCCGCCTCACCCGTGTGGCCCGCCACAACCTGCGCGTCAAGCACGGCGATGTCGTCACCATCCACCCCTGCCCAGACATCAAATACGTAAGGAGCACCGCCACCTTCCTATGCCAAAACTACGAACCTTCACTAACCACGAACCTCGTCCTATAGGCCAAGCGTATTGCTGTTCTCCCGATTGCCGACACCGTCGAGGGCCTGACCGGCTCACTGTTCGACGTCTTCCTTGCCCCCTACTTCCGCGAGGCCTACCGGCCCGTCCGCCAAGGCGACCTGTTCACCGTGCGCGGTGGTATGCGGCAGGTAGAGTTCAAGGTCGTCGAGGTCGACCCCCCAGAGTACGGCATTGTCGCCCAGGACACCGTCATCCACTGCGAGGGCGACCCCATCCAGCGCGACGAGGAGGAGAACAACCTGAATGAGGTCGGCTACGACGACATTGGCGGCTGCCGCAAGCAGATGGCCCAGATTCGCGAGATGGTTGAGCTGCCGCTGCGGCACCCCCAGCTCTTCAAGTCCATTGGTATCAAGCCGCCCCGCGGTGTGCTTCTCTACGGTCCCCCTGGTACCGGTAAGACGCTGATGGCCCGCGCCGTCGCCAACGAGACGGGCGCCTTCTTCTTCCTCATCAACGGCCCCGAGATTATGTCCAAGATGGCTGGCGAGTCCGAGTCCAATCTGCGCAAAGCCTTCGAGGAGGCCGAGAAGAACTCGCCTGCCATCATCTTCATCGACGAGATCGACTCCATCGCCCCCAAGCGTGAGAAGACCAACGGCGAGGTCGAGCGCCGTGTCGTCTCGCAGCTGCTCACCCTCATGGACGGCATGAAGGCCCGCTCCAACGTCGTCGTCATGGCCGCCACCAACCGCCCCAACTCCATCGACCCTGCCCTGCGTCGTTTCGGTCGCTTCGACCGCGAGGTCGATATTGGCGTCCCCGACCCCACTGGCCGTCTGGAGATCCTGCAGATCCACACCAAGAACATGAAGCTGGCTGACGACGTCGACCTGGAGCAGATCGCCGCCGAGACGCACGGCTACGTCGGTTCCGACTTGGCCGCTTTGTGTTCCGAGGGTGCCATGCAGCAGATCCGCGAGAAGATGGACCTCATCGACCTCGACGAGGACACCATCGACGCCGAGGTCCTCGACTCTCTCGGTGTCACCATGGAGAACTTCCGCTTCGCCCTGGGCGTGTCCAACCCGTCGGCCCTGCGCGAGGTCGCCGTGGTCGAGGTGCCCAACGTCCGCTGGGACGACATTGGTGGCCTGGAGACGGTCAAGCAGGAGCTCAAGGAGAGCGTCCAGTACCCTGTGGACCACCCCGAGAAGTTCCTCAAGTTTGGCATGTCGCCGTCCCGCGGTGTGCTCTTCTATGGTCCGCCTGGTACCGGTAAAACGCTGCTGGCCAAGGCCGTCGCCAACGAGTGCGCGGCCAACTTCATCTCGGTCAAGGGTCCCGAGCTTCTGAGCATGTGGTTCGGCGAGTCCGAGAGCAACATCCGCGACATCTTTGACAAGGCCCGTGCGGCCGCGCCCTGCGTCGTCTTCCTCGACGAGCTGGATTCGATTGCCAAGGCCCGTGGTGGCTCGGTCGGCGATGCCGGCGGTGCGTCGGACCGTGTCGTCAACCAGCTCCTGACGGAGATGGACGGCATGACCTCCAAGAAGAACGTCTTTGTCATTGGCGCCACCAACCGTCCCGAGCAGCTTGACCCTGCCCTGTGCCGTCCCGGCCGTCTGGACTCGCTCATCTATGTGCCCCTGCCCGACGAGGCCGGCCGTCTGGGCATCCTCAAGGCCCAGCTGCGCAAGACGCCCGTTGCGGACGACGTCGACCTGCAGTACATTGCCTCCAAGACGCACGGCTTCTCCGGTGCCGATCTGGGCTTCATTGCCCAGCGCGCCGTCAAGCTGGCCATCAAGGAGTCCATTACTGCCGACATTGAGCGCACCAAGGCCGCCGAGGCCGCCGGCGAGGATGTCGAGATGGACGAGGACCTCGAGGACACGGTTCCCGAGCTGGCCAAGCGCCACTTTGAGGAGGCCATGCAGATGGCCCGCCGCTCCGTCACGGACGTGGAGATCCGCCGGTACGAGGCTTTCTCGCAGCAGATGAAGAACGCCGGTCCCGGCTCGTACTTTAAGTTCCCCGAGGGCGGCATCGACTCGGCCGGCGCCACCAACCCGGCTGGCTCCGCGCCCGAGGGCTTTGGCGATGCCGGCGCGGACGACGAGCTCTACGACTAAGTCTGCGTGCTGTTGGAGCAATGTTGTGTAGGGCATGGGACGCCTGGCTTTTTAGATGAGGAAAGACATAGGTTTGATTTGCATTTGGTAGAGAGACACAACCTCTGGGTCGTTTCACTTTTTTTCAGTTAGAATGAGACATGTGCCTTGATTTGTGCTGCTTTTGCTTTTGCTTTTGCTTTTGCTTTGCTTTCCTCTTCTTTTGTACGTTTTCTGCTTTCCAGGGGTTCAAGGAATAATGGCACGGAAGACGAACGACTTCTCCTCTGCTATGCTTGTTCTTCTTTGCCAGTTATTTTTCTTCGATATTTGCTGTATTCTAGTTTCCTTGTTTCCTACTAAACTCGATTCCTATTCCACAACCGAAGTTGAACCTGCTTGGCATTACAAGACTGCATGGAAATGGCCTACATGCACACTCGTGGATATTGCGGTAATACTTTCATCTTGCCAGTCGTAGAGAAAAACACTGAACGACATACATATACCACCTCGCCACTCGTAGCACGTGAGGCAGCTATTGCATGAAAGACGAAAACAAAAACACCACAAATGAACGTCAAGACGAAAGACAAAACACCAAACGAATGAGCTAAACAGAGGGTCCAGACAGAAAAGACCCTGGTGTGATTCTGCCTCACACAATACTGGAAAAGTATACAGGTCCCCAGTCATGACAAAAAACGCCCCCAAGACCAAGAAATTGTGTCGTGACAATGGATAAACACACAAAAACAGGTATACACCCAATAAAAACACCACCGTGACCAACTTAAAAGCACGACCCATTCCATACGCCATACTCGCCGTCCTCGTCTTCCTCGTCTTCCTCGTCTTCCTCGTCTTCCTCGTCTTCCTCGTCTTCCTCGTCTTCCTCGTCTTCCTCGTCTTCCTCGTCTTCCTCGTCTTCCTCGTCTTCCTCGTCTTCCTCGTCTTCCTCGTCTTCCTCATCTTCCTCGTCTTCCTCGTCTTCCTCGTCTTCCTCGTCTTCCTCGCCTTCGTAGTCGCCGTCGTCTTCCTCGTCTTCGTCGTCTTCGTCGTCTTCCTCGTCTTCGTAGTCGCCGTCGACCTCACCGTCCCCGGTGCCAGACGACAACGCCGCATCGTCACCGGTGTCGGGGGACGGCACGGTTGCCCTCGCGCCGATGCACCCGTCCTCCGGGCCCGTCCCGTTATCGGTGCCGATGGCTTCGGTGGCCTACTCCTCAATCTCGCACACCATGTCCAAGCTCTCCCGCGTCGCCCGCAACGCCTCGTCAATCACGCTCTGCGGCAGCGCCAGCGACCCCGGCTGGCCCGGTTTTACTTTGGTGTTTGCGCCGTTGCCGTTGCCGTTCGTGCTGGCGGCGCCGTTGGCCGCACCATGGGCGGCCGTACTGGTGTCGTGCCGGATGTCGTCCATGATGCGGTTCATCAGCGCCGGAAAATTGGAGAACTCGCCCGACCGGAGCAGTTGCAGGGCATGCGCCTGCACAGTGGCCGGCCAGTTGGAGGTGTCGGCGTTGAGGATGTGCAAGAGGTAGTCTTGGATGCTGGTGGTGGTGTTAGTGACCGCTCCAAAAGAGAGTTGGTGGGGAAGGGTGAAGGAGTGAAGGGGACCTACCGGCCGACATGGCCGTCACGGATGAGGACCATGTTGATCTGGGAGCGCAGGTCCGGGTCGAGGGTAGCCGGCGTATAACTCGCAGCCGCCGACGGCACCTTCACCGGGGTGGACGGCGTGGACGTAACAGTCGCCCCAGAAGCCGCGCCGCCAGCACCAGCACCGTTACTGCTGCCCGCTGCGGCGGCACCACTTGACGTGGCTGTCGGCATGTTGGCAGTCTGTGTGTGTGGTTCGTCGAGTGTGCCCTCTTTTCATGCCCCAGGTTCTTCCCAAAATCCCCCCACGAGATACCTCTAACTCGAGCAACCTTGGTTGTGCCCTCTTCTGTTACTCGTTTCGTAATTTTGTTCGGTCGTGTATGGGTGTCCCGAATTCAAGCTCCCTTGCGAAAGAGAGCTCTGGAAAGAAATGAGGTCGTGTAAAGTGCACTATGGGAAGCGATCTCGGGTGGAACCTGGCCGTCGCGAGAACAACACAGAAAATCAAAAGGAGACAAAAACGAAATTGTATAAAGGGACAATAGAGCTGACAGTTCCGAGTTCTGGCCGGACTGATCTTTAGTGTTGTTCTCGCTTGTCCTCTTTATTGTGATGTAGACCCCCAAAGTTGAACTTTCAAATTGTTCGTGGTGCCGTTTTCGCAGTTTAGATCGTCTATTGGATACGTCGTAGATTCGCAGGGATGGTTGGACTTGAGAGGGACGTTTGTAGAAAGGACGTGGACAAGACAAACAGCCAGCTCGTCGATTCGCAGTTGGGGTCTGTCGCTATCCTCGTCGGCCGGAGAAGCAAAGAGAGATACTGTCGGGAAGAGGAAAGGCCCGTCGTCGGTGGCTGTGGTCAATTTGTGGATTGCGGTTGATTGAACCTTGCGATGCGTAGGGAAAAGGGAAAGTGGTCGAATGCCGAGCTGTCGAACAAGCAGTAATGGCGTTTGGATAGGGTTTTTTTCACTGCATGTTAGTGGTTCGTTTGGGGGGGAGGAGCAACCGAAGTTTTGCCACACGCACCTTACACGCCTGTAACAATGGGGAGGCCAGGAAGCTGCCAAGCGCTAAGCAAACACAGGCCAGGCCAAATGACAGAATGTGACACACTGGGAGGTTCAGCACAAGGCTGGCGGCGTTACGTCGACTAACTGCAGGCACCTTACGGCAGATTACAGCGCCCCAAGCGGCCCAATGCCTAATCCACGCAGCCCAGCCCCCTGCATTAAGCCGGTGCGGGACAAATCTTTATCAGCGGCCGCAGTCGGTAACAAACATCGTACGTACTACGTAAGAGTCCCTGAATAAGGTAACTTACCTTCGACTACATTATGCACCTAACCTACAACGTATTGGACAGATTGTGAGCCCTGAGCTTCTTTGGGCGAGCTATCAAGAGAACAATGCAGAGGATGGACGAGCAAGCAGTTAGAACAAGATATGTATATATAATGGCAATTGCTTTCTTCATTTATACCCCGAAGTGTCTTTTTTGGTATGGAGGGATGCTTTTTTTCTTTCTTTTTTTCGGCTTCTTTTACAAAAAAAGGTGAATCGACGACGATGCAAAAAGAAAAGCAAAAAAAGGTCTATGGAGAGGTATTCATCGGGTCCCCGGTCGGCGACGCGCCGGTCGCGATGGCTGCTGCTGTCGTCGCAAAGTACCGCACGTCGACGTCTTCGTCTTTTTGCAGCTTCTCGAGGCTCGGCAGCACGCGGCTCTGGATCAGCTCGGCGCCCTTGGCGGACGGCGCGGGAGGTGCGCCGCTGCCGGCCTTGTCAGCATTCTCGGGCGAGTACAGTGTGCCCTGGTCCGGCAGCCGTTTGAGCACATCAATCAGAACCCCGTACGTCTTGGCGACGTTGAAGCGGATATTCGGAATGTCGTCCACCACCAGTTTGTCCATCATCGGGAGAATGTGCTTGCCAATCACCTCCAGGCTGACCACACTTGCGAGGGTCTGCATGCGGGTTAGTAAAACAGAACGTGAAAAAGAAAAGGGCAAGGGGCAGCCATGAGTCGACAGGGGCCGTAACATACCGTAATAGCAAAGCAGGTCGTCATCCGGTAAAGGTAGTTGGGGTGGTTACCCATAGCCATGACTTTCGGAATGATCGCCTCGCTGGCCCAGTCAACGCCAAAGACCTCCGTGAGCTTCTTGAGGTTGTGTGTTGCCGCTTCACGGATCGAAAACACCGTGTCGCCCAGCCAGCTCATGCACAGGCTGCTCAACTTCTCGTCAAAGAACTCGACGCCAAGCTGGCTAGCGAGCAGCGGAATGTACTCGATAATAGCCAACCGCACTCGCCACTGCTTGTCCTCGGCCAGTTGAACTATAGCCGGCAACAGAGACTGAGAAAGAAGGTCGATGCCAATAACTGGTGAGGAAAAGACGCGTGAGCAAGGAATCAGCATATTCAAAACGGGGACAAAAGCATAGCTATATATATACCTTGGTTCACAAGCTCCAGTTTGGAGATGATGTGAAGGCGAACTTCAGGGAACTCGTCCTTGAGCATTTGCAGGAACATGGGCAGGAGGTGGTCGATTGTCCTGGAAGAGAAAGGTCAGCTTGCGGATGTATGTGCGACGGAAACGTGGTCACAACAATGGGTCCACGCGGTGGACGTACTCTTGCTTGCCCAGAATTGGTGCCAGGCCAGAAATCTGTGTGCCCAGGGCCGCGCGCACGTGCTGGGACGTGTCCGATACAAGGTCCTCGACGCTGGGCATGATCTCGTTAAGTAGCATGTCGCGGTCGACCAGGACACAGAAGCCGGGTATTTGGCCGGCAATGGCCGTCCGCACCTCGGCTTCGTTGTCCTTTAACAACTTGACAAAGGCAGGGACCAGGTCTCTCGTGACGACCTCCTCGTCGACGGCTTTGGCAATCTTCTCAAAGTGGTCTGCAACCATGTACCGCACACGCCAGCTCTTGTCCTCGATCAGGCTGCGCAGGGCCGTGAGCAGCACGCCATGGCTGGACTGCTGCTCCTTGGGAACGACTTCGGCAATGGCGATGAGAATCTCGACGGTAAGAAGACGGACGCTATCTTGGTCGTCTTGTGCGAGGTGCTGAAACAAGGGGATCATCTCGTCAATCACAATGGCGGCGGGCATCTCCTTGACAAATTTGGGCATGTGCGTGGCGGACTGGCGCCGCACCATCGGGGTATCATCGTGGACAAGCTGTCCGAATTGCTGGCGGAGCTGCTCCTGGACACCGGGCGGCACCTTCTTGTATGGGGCTGTGTATAGTCCGCAGCCGCTCACTTTCGACGTGAACCAGTCGGCCTTGGACAGGCGCACGGTCAGGGGCACAAAGTACTCCTCGACCTGCTTCGGCGACAGCTCGTCGCAGATCTTGTTAAGAGACTCAACCGCCTAGTGAGGGGTACCGGTTAGCGTTGATGCTGGTCAAAGGACGGCCGACACAGGGGGCTCGGCTGCCAACGTACTTTGTCTCGGACAACGGGCTCCTCGATCGCAGCGAGGTTCTCTAGGGGCGACAGAAGCACATGACCCCACTCCGGGCCGCCGACATATTCAATAAAGCCACCGAGCTCCTCGCTCAAGGCAACAAGCACCTCATCCTCGTCTTCGACAGATTCTGTAGTGGTCACAACATCAACGGTTAGTTATACAGTGTTCAACGAAAGCTGCCATGAGCTACCCCACTCTGGCCGCCCCGTATCCTTTCTCGACGCGTCCCAATAGCCTCGCGATCGACCTTTGCAACAATGCCTGGATCAAAACGCGGGCTGTACATCTGCTTTCCGTCACATCGTGCACGGCACGTGCTGCCAACAGAGCGGTATCGGAAGCGTTTGCATCGAAAGGGCGGATAAAAAAACAGGCATAGACACGCAGTCGCGGTAGTTAAACAATACAGAGGGGCATTTCACCGACCATCGAGAAAGGGAATCAGTTCTTCGCGCGTGCGCTCAGCGCCGAGTGCGAGAGCAATCGTCGACAGACGGTGGATGGCATTGAGACGGAGCAGGACATCGTCGTGCTACACGAAAGGACATCAGCAATCGGTGTGTTTCCACAATCATCAAAACAACCATCATCGCGTCGGAAAGCTAGAGCTCAGACAATAGCCATGATCCAACAACCCATTCGTAGGGCGAGGGCGAGACACAACAAAAGGGGCGTGTGGCCAGCGAAAATCAAAAAATTCGTACCTTGAGCTCATCGATAAGCACGGCGATGGGGTAGAGCTCGTCCGTGGCGTTGGGCGCGTCTGCCATGAGGAACGGAATGGTGACTGTGACGAGGGAAAGCGAAAGGCGGCTCGGGACGGCAGGTCGATGGAATCGAGACGACGAGGAGGAGAAGGAGGAGGCGGTGGTGAGAGATGCGGTGCGATGCTTTGTCTGGCGGGGAAGAAAGACAAAAGCAGGGCGTCGCGCGAGGAGGAGGAGCCTTCACGTCGATTCGGGTGACGATGCTTTGTGACGAAAACTCCAAGATACAAAGAAAAAAAAATCGACAAATAAGGCCGGGGCGCGTCAAAGGTCGATGATTGCGCAGCCGGAAATCGGACGGTGTGGATATGAAGAGAGGCTGAAAACGAGGCACAAGGGTGCAAAATGACGAACAGGATAGAGAAATAAAAGAGACGAGAAGAGCGATGCAGTGAGCGCTTCTCAAGCTAAAACAAAAATAGCAACCGAGCAGGCGGAGAAAGAGACGGTCTGCGAGGGAGGGAGGGGGGGATGCGTTTTCGACGAGCGCGCAGTGGAGCTGTTGATTGACGATTGGCGATGCAAAGGAGAGAGGTTATTAGACTGGGATTGAGGTTGGGGGAGAAGCAAGCAAAAGTAGAAGACACTGGGGGGAGAGTGGAATGGGTCCCTTTCTTTATTCGAGATGATGCGGTGGTGCTTCGAAAAGAACAAGGTCCGTTCTGAGAGAGGAAGGGGCAGCCCAGTCCCAAGCAAGGTTTTTGGGTCGCGAGCAACGCCCAGGTTGGAAAGAGCATTCACCACCCAACCGCCCAATCCCACCCCTCCCTGTAGTACAGGATACAGCGGTCGCTAGAGGGGCGGCTCTGGTTGCTGTTTATGCCTCCCCTCGCTGCTTCCCCCTTTTCGGAGTTTTGTTTTTTCGTTCCTTGTTTCGCTGTTTCCAAGCTGGCGGCAGTGTCGCTAGTGCTAATTTAAAATTTTGGGGGGCCTACCTGTCTGATCTGGTCGGTGAGGCCGGGCGCGCCTTCCCAAACAGTGGGATCGCATTACAGCATTCCCAGCCCCGTCCGTCTACGGGGTAATAATACCCTACCGAAAGGGAAGGCGTTGCAATTAGAGGACACCAGGCCATCCATCGCAGGATTGTGCAAGTCAACAACTGTAAATAGCGTTCCATTCCGCCAGGTGAGCTATGTTGTCAACCGCAACAAGAGGCACTTTTTATGCCGGGTCGCGTGTACCTACGACTGCCAATGCCGGCACGACCCAAACCAGGCGCGGGCAGCAGAAAAGAGTGATGCAATCGTCATTTGGTCAGATACAAAGCACGAGGCGCTACTGGTAGCCTAGGATCGGCCTAAAGCAATAGCTCTAGAAGAGAGCTGAAAGGCCAGTGGCGGGGTAGTCTTAAGATACTTGTCAACTGACAATCAGTGAGGGGTGGAGTCTCTAAGCTGAAGGCGCCCACTATGCAGCTTCCCTCCACGGTTCCCGTGTCCTTGACAAAGCAAGCAGCTGCCCTGCCATGCAATCTATTACGATGCCCGGAACAGAAGGCGCAGAACAATGTGCGAGTTAAGAAGGAGCGGCCTTGCTGCATCCACAGCAGTGCTTTGGTGCTGTAATATGGGGTTGGTAAACGCCCAATGCAAGATTACATAGCAACCAACACCAGAAGCTTGGGCCAGTTAGGTTAAACAACAGCGGGGTTGCCGGCGGCTGGCAAAATGGAGACTTCATACAATTTACAGCGCGCGCGGCAAGACGAATGGCACATCGCATCTTTAACGAAAGCACGTGATATCAACATTGAGGGCCTCAAATAGAAATAGAGTCCTGAGGGCAACAAAGCTTATGTTGATTCGCTGGAGTTTTTTCAGGTGGTCTAAAGGCACCGGAGACCAAATAAGAATAAAGACGCCGAAAAGCAAAAGGCAAAACAAGAGTGGGAGGAGTAAAAGATAACCACCCCAAACAAAACGCTGATCCATACAAAATAAACAAATGCACGAGTCTGTCTAATCGTGATAATAAAAACGTCGAGACGCCGAGGCCACCAGCAAACCGCAATTCTCCGTTCCCCATGCTACATATCCCGCAGCTCTTGCTCGCCGCTCGAGCGGTTCATCTGCCGGCTGCGTCTGCTGCCGCTGCCACCCACAAACGAGTCAAAAACGCCGCCGCTGCCGCTGCCGCCACTGCTGGTCGCGTTGTCTTTGTCCCCGTCCGCGTCGGCCAGGCCAAAGAGAGACTCGCGGCCGTTGATGTTGCTAGCAGGTGTACCACTTCTGGTGCCGGACACGGAGCCGCCACTCTCATGAACGGTGTTAGTTGCGTTCCCTGTAGTACTGCCATTGCCATTACCATTGCCAATGCTACTGCCGACGGCCGACAGCGTGCCAAGGACGCCGCCGACCTTTTGGCCCAGACCGAGGCCGGCAAAGCCGTCCCGGAGAGCAGCAAAGGCGCTGGGTTCGTTGGTAGACGAGCCGCTGCGCTGGAATGAGGGGATCGAGTCGACATTGTCATCAACGGGCGAGGCGAGCAGAGCGCGCGCCATGGCGGCGTTGGGGACGTTGATCGTCGTTGCTGTTGTTGTCGCCGTTGTCGCCGTCGTCGCAAGCTCGGCTCCCGCGGACTGCGACGTCTGGAAGGACGGCGGTGAGGCCGGACTGGCACCACGGCGGGGCGAGACGGACCGGCTGCTGCGCGCACTCCTTGCCGTTAGGCCTGATGGGGCTGTAGGATCGTCGTCGCCGGGCGTCACGATAACCGTCGCCGGCGCCGCAGCTGTGGCCGTCATGGTGGCGTGGTAGTTAACGTGGCGTTCCACCGCGGCGGCTGCCGCAGCGTTGAGCGCGCTGTTCATGTCCTGGTCGGTGCGGTTAAAGGCCTGGTGCCACCAGCGGATCTCGTCGAGTTTTGGGAACAGCAGGCGGTCGTCTTGGCGGCCGTTGCCTTCGTTGCTACCGTTGGTGGCAGCAGCCATGGCGGAGGCGTCATATTGTGGGTTGGTGAATTCGGCACGGCGGGACAAGAAATAGTCCCAGACAGACGAGGTGCGCTCTCGCACCTTGGCTTCGAGGCGCTGGCGCTCGTTGTTATAGAGGAAGGTGCCATACTGGCACGAGTAGAGGTGGTACAGAAGACGCCGCAGAAAGCGCTCGTTGAACTCGAAGCGCGTGGGATATTGCCGCAGCAGCTGGTATGTAGCATCCAGGAACTGGTGGAAGACCGGGCTGATTTCACGCGGGCGTGTCGCTTGGCTCTCTTCCACGGGTGCGGACCGGCTGCCAGCATCTTCGGCGGCGCCGTCGCCGTCCGACTCTTCCTTGTCCTGGCTCAGGCTCTTCTTGAAGAACCGGCGCGCGCTGGCCACGGCATTGTCAAAGACCTCGTTGCGCCCATCGCTCTCGCCCGGTTCAATCTTGGTCCCTGCCATGGCGTCGTTTTGTGTGACGAACCACTTCTCTGAGTTGAGGTGGCCGGAGCGCTGCTGGAACATGTGGCCAAACGACAGCCAGTCCTTTTCCACCAGGACGATGAAACCGTCAATGGTGCGGAAGTAAGGGTCCAGCATAATCTGCGCGAGGCCGCTGAGCTGGCTTGTGCGGTCCCAGCCGTCGGAGCAGTGGATCAGCACGTGGGCAGCGCTGACACCGACCTGGCGCGCAATGGTCTGCGAGCCCGTCAAGATGCCGCGGATGTGCTTGAGCCAGCCGCTCTTGGCCAGCAGGTCCTGGCTGGGCGGCAGCGGCGAGATGTCAGCGTCCTTGACGGCCTCGATGACCTTGTTGAGCGACTCCCGCATGACGTGAATGTTGTCAATACTAAGGAACATCTTGGTGGCCGACTTGTAGTGGTCCATGTTCTCGGACCCTTTGCCCACCACCTGCATGGCAAGCGAGTTGATGGCCGGGCGTGCGTCGACAATGAGGTTGTCCCGCCGGGCACCGAAGACGCGGCTCGCCGGATTATCGTCGGACCCATCATCGGCCTCGGTGGCCGAGTCGTCGCCACCACTGCCTCCCATCTTGTCTACGATGGTCACTGCTTCGGCCACACCATCGTATGTGACAATCATAGTGTCACCGCTCCCGCTCCCCGACTCGCCGCTCGGCGTCGACGAGTCACTGGTAGCTGTATTAGAGCCGTTATTACGGATATTGCTGTTGCTGTGCGTCGCGTCGCCACTGAAGACAGCCGTCGACTTGTAGAAGCACGCGCTCACCAGCCGCTCATCCTGTATGCTGCGATTGTTCCGAACACCCACCAGAGGCTGCGAGCTGCGGGTGATGCTGCACTGCGTAATGGGGTGGTAGTACGTCAGGGCCGGAATGCGCGCGCGCGAGCGGAACTGGCCGGCGTATTTCAACACGTTGTCCGAGATCTTGGAGGGCACCACAAGCAGGCTCGGGTACGTTGGTGAAAAGGTATAGTCCTTGTTGATGTGCGAGATGCGCCAGCCACGGTCTGGCAGCTTCTCATTGATGCCCTGCCGGCGGAACTCAGCACGTGCGTCGTAGACGTCCCAGCCGCACAAGTCCTTCTCCTGGCGCGCGGGCGCATACGAGAAGGCGTAGAGCTTCTCGATGCTGCCGAGGCGGCAGGTGCGGCTGCGGATAAACTCAAAGACCTCGCGAGCCTGCTTCTCGTCGGTGAAGCTAAAGCAGACAATATTAAAGTCACGGCACCGTATGCGGATCGAGGAGGGCACGCCGCTCGAGGACGGCGTGGGCCGGAACGTACAGTGGGCAATAATGGGGTAGGTAATCCACGACTCGCGCTGCCGGGCGGGTGCCGTAGTTGGCGGTTGTGGTTTTTGTTTGCTAGAGTCGGAGGGAGTAGAGGAGGAGTCGTTGGATGTGCGAGTCGGGCTGTCCTTTGGTGGAGGGGGTGGTGGTGTCGCTGCTGACGAAGCTGTTGACGATGCCGCCCTTGCTAGTGGCGGTGTCGGGATTGGGGCACAAAAGACAATGTGGAAGTTTGTGAGCTTCAGCGTGCCCCGTGTCGACGTCCCGGCCGACAGCACGCTTACATTTTCGATTGTCTAGACGTCGGGCACAGCAATATGTTAGTAGAGGCCGGAGGTGTGAGCTTGACGGTGGCATCAACATCGCAGGGGCTTACGTACGAGCTTGGGGTCCATGCCGTCATCGGGCGCCGCCGTCGGGTCGGCAGCGACGCAGGACAAGGGACGGAAATAACAAAGGAAGAAGGCAGCTATAAGAGCTTCAACTGAGACGTGCTGAAGTCAACAGATGAAATATATATGCCGAAAAGCCGAGAGCCAAGCGTTCAATGACGTTGCTCCGGAAGTGGCGGGCAGTCAAAGGGGCGGGGAACGGATGCTGCACGGGGCGTGATAGTTGATGCTGTGGCCGGTAGAAAAGCCGTTGGAATAATGCGGTGCGCGTGTATGCAATGAACCGCGATGCACACGAGACCAGTGGCGGCGGTTGTACACACTCTTTCTGTATTGTTGTGTGGGCTGAGATAAAGCTGGCTGGAGGGGCCAGGTCAGGTTGTGCAGCCTGCCCAACAGAAGGGAAGGAGCTCTCTCGTTGGCGGACGGTCGTGGTGGTTAGTGCGGCGCTTGGCAAGTATATGCGCCCAATCGCAGTCACGTGGAGTTGGTCTTGAATTTGATTTTGGTTTCTGCTAAGGAGTATTTATATTGTGTTATAAATTTTCAAGAATGTTCCATTTATCCACCAAAAATCGAAATCAAGTAGGCTCCAGAAGAGTTGCGAAATGTGAAGGTTCGGCACATTTGCATCTTAAGCCTTGTCTGTGACGTCGTTGTCGGCTTTATTTAGAAAGCGACCGTCGACCTCGACAAATTTCCATCACGTGACTATCATGGTCGGTTTGTATGGGATGGACAGAAAGGTATCTATAAAACGAAGTTTTATAGATACCAAATTTTATTATGAGCTTACACTGATACAATATTTCCTTTTGGCGCGGTTACCAAGTTTGAAAACATCCTGTTTTATAGCAACAGACCTGATAACGCATCACAATGTCAGGCCTTCCAGAGCAGCGTTATATTGTATCTGCACATTTTTGTTGTTTTATTTTATTTTATAGTAGAATAATGTTTGTTTGGGTGCATAATTGTTTCAAAAAAAAAAAAAAAAAAAAAGAAACACAAAAAGCGTTTTCCCTGTAATGGACATTATTTCACTGAGTGTCAAATGGTGAGGATATTTGCTATTCGAGTAATTTTCGTGAACGCCTCCAGAGAAGCAGAACATAAACCAAGGCTACTTGGTGAAATGGCGCATGTGCATTTGCATGGTCTCGTCACTCTGTTTCTTGTCCTGTCAAACCGCGGTATTCGTGTTAGTCTCCTCGTTTTGATTTCCGCATGGGCATCCTTGCAGGGTCCGATGAATAGGATGGGCTGGAAGAAATAGTTTGGTTACAGACGTCCATGGCTATCTTTTGTCCGGACGATAAATACTATGGCCTCGGGCAGCAACTTTGATCACTTGAAGCTTTCTTGACCCTTCTCTATTCTGCTCTACCTGTGATTTGTACAGTATAGATTCTTCTTGCACACATCTCGAAATTTCCAAGTGAAGAACATAACTACTTGCATCTCACTCGACTTTTACATCATGGCCGACGAGGTCCAAGAGGCCGCCAAGGACGCTCACATGCCGAGCAAGACAGATGACAAGGACAACGATGCCTCATCCATCAACGAGGCCACTCGTGGTGACAAGTAATTGAACAATGGCAAAACAAATAACGCCTACATACCCAGGAAAGATCTAGCAATCGCAGTCTACTGGTCGTGCGCTTCTGTCTCCGCTACCTCATGATTTAAACAACGGGAGCAGAGGACGTGTCTGTGCTGAAACTTGCGGGAGAAAGCGGAGAGATATGTAGGAAAAAGGCCATAATATGAATCTTAATTTCTAAAGGCACGATTTTCCAGAAATCAAATACTTGTCCCCAAGTGAAGGCTGCGTTCTGTGTCGGTGAAAGTGCTTTCTGTGGCTTGAAAGGGAAGCTTCTCATGGGCATAGTATCATATACTTAAAGACAGTATTTACACTGTATTGATTTTGGGGCTGCAAAGTGGCTCGAGTGGTCCTCTCTTATCATTGGCTGAAAGCGCACCCTTTTTTCACCTCACTGCAAATTTGTGCGCAGAATGCGGTGCAAGTGCAGCTCCTCGCTCAATGACTAAGCAGTTAGGGCTTCCTTCCACCTGAATCCGGCCCTCTGGTTGGTGGGGACCTGGCAAAGAATTTACGGGCAGTCCAATGATTTTTATTTTTTGAATGGTAGCGCCAAAGTGCAGCGAAAAAAGTGCATTGGAGGGTTGTCGTCCATTTCGAGCCTGCGTGAAAAGTGATCCATCTCCATCACCCTTTGACAACCCACGAACGATACCCCCCGGTTTCGACACTCTCGACGACAACAACCTCCCGCTTTTCGGACTCTTTCCTTTTCGAAATCCTCACATATCACAAACATGGCTACCCCGGGTGCTCAGATGTACGTCAACGATCCCACGAACGGATTTTGGAGGGGAATATCCACGAGAAAGAGACTTTTGGTTTTCGATTTGGAGGACCAGGAGATGATCGAGGGACAGGACTGAAGGAGGGGGCATCCGAACAAAGTGATCCAGCAATGCTGACTGTTTTTGTTTTCTTACAGCTCCAAGCGGAGAAAGTTCGTCGCCGACGGTGTCTTTTACGCCGAGCTGAACGAGTTCTTCCAGCGCGAGCTGGCCGAGGAGGGCTACTCCGGCGTCGAGGTCCGCGTCACCCCGACCGTCACCGACATCATCATCCGCGCCACCCACACCCAGGAGGTTCTTGGCGAGCAGGGCCGCCGCATCCGTGAGCTCACCTCGCTCATCCAGAAGCGCTTCAAGTTCCCCGAGAACAGCGTCTCCCTCTACGCCGCCAAGGTCCAGAACCGCGGTCTGTCCGCCGTCGCCCAGTGCGAGTCCCTGCGGTACAAGCTGCTCAACGGCCTGGCCGTCCGCCGTGCTTGCTACGGTGTCCTGCGCTTCATCATGGAGAGCGGCGCCAAGGGCTGCGAGGTTGTCGTCTCGGGTAAGCTCCGTGCCGCCCGTGCCAAGTCCATGAAGTTCACCGACGGCTTCATGATCCACTCCGGCCAGCCCGCCAAGGACTTTATCGACTCGGCCACCCGCCACGTCCTGCTGCGCCAGGGTGTTTTGGGTATCAAGGTCAAGATCATGCGCGGCTCCGACCCCGAGGGCAAGGCCGGCCCCCAGAAGTCGCTGCCCGACTCCGTCACCATCATCGAGCCCAAGGAGGAGCAGCCCGTCACCCAGCCCATCAGCCAGGACTACGGTGCCAAGGCTGCCCAGCAAGCCGCCGCCGCCGAGGCTGCGCGCGCTGCTGAGGCTGCCGCCGCGGCACCTGCAGACGAGGAGGCTGCCCCCGCTGAGCAATAGTATGCTCAACGTGGCGGTGGCTTCGATGGGGGTGTACTGCGTGGCAGTGGTGGTGGAGCGGGAGCTGGTGTGAGTGGCGGCGGCGAGCAAGGTTTGGGCAGCGGCGGCGGCATCGCCCCGGGCAGTCTGGCTGCACCTGGAATCATGATGCGAAACGACAACGACGACGACAACATCATCGTCCTCGACCACATTCCTGCCGACGTTGCAGGCCAGTCTGTGGGCTTCCTCAGCGGTGACGCGTTGTACGACGAGCCCACCGTGCAGGTGCCCATGGGCATCCAGTTTGGCGGCGCCTACGATGTCGAGCATGGCAACCTCCAACGATGGTAAAGGGCGACCTGGACGGCAATTTCCTCCAGGAAGTATCCCCCCGGGGATGAAGTGTCACGTTTTGTTCTTCAGAGAGGAAACATGAAACCAGTGAAAGGCTTTTGACACGTGGAAAACGAGGATTTGCAGAAAAGTTGATTTGAGGAAACGGGCTCTGGGACGAATGGGACTACGAACGTACCAAAACGGACAAGGGAGGGGATAGTACTTGTTTTTTTTAAAACGCCTATTGATTTTTTTTATTTTCTTTCGCTTGGTTTGTTTTCAACAGATTCTTTGGGCGTTTGTCCTCCCCTTGCCCTCCCCTTAGGTTTCACCGCACACTCACACCGTCACACTTACGGTTTAAAAAAAATCAAACTTGATTAAAAATTTATATAATGGTCCTGTGAAGTATGGTGATGTGAGTCGTTTACGGGAGATTGTTGCAAGTGAAACGAGTAGACACTTCCACTCATCCTACGATCACATTGTCGGTGTGTCATGCAGTGTTTATGGAATTGGTTTTTGGATGGTTTGCCCTGCATAATGTGGAGGCAAGGCCGTCGCCTTCTATCGTACACACGAAAAGCGTCGAGCAGGAAAACAAAGCAGCTAGAAAACGGTAGAAAAAGAACAAAGGCAATGAAGCCATCCCCCTATCAAAGGAAAGAGTCCCAAGAAAAAAAGACAAGAAAACAACAAAACATGTAGCTACGCAGCCCCTTAAAAAGACCCAGAAGCGTTACCCAACTGGATGACTCTCTCCCCCCTTTTCGCACAAATATGGCAAACAAAAAAACGAGAACTAAATTGGAAAGCAACAACGAAAAACGCCATGATGATTTCCTCGCCACACCTCTTCTGGTTTCCAAGTCCATCATCTCCCTCGCTGTCGTCAACGAAACTCGCTCCTTATGAAATGTAAAAATATACAATTTTGCGGGAGAGATGGAAGGACATGGTCCCCAAGGTTATGGACCCGGGTTCATGAAGAGGATGCACGTAAGGAATCCAGAAAAAAAAAACGAGAACGCGAAGAGTTCGAGTTCGATAATCCAAGGAACGAGGAAGCAGTTTTGTGGAGAGGGTGTTATGTGCTTCGGTATATGTGTGACGGCATGATAACAACAGAATAAGGACAGAAAGAAAAGAAAACGTAACCAAGAACAGCAAAACTCAAGAAATCGTTAGAAGAAAAGACAGTGAAGTGAAACCGAAATCATGACCAGATCCTGTCCAGTGCATTACCGACCCGGCTTGGACTGATCGGATACGCTTCGTACGCCCCCTGTCTTCTTGTTGTTCTTGGACACGTGCCCGTTGCTGGCGCCGCCGTTGGGGGCATTCGGCGACATGGGCAGCGGGTTGTCCTCATCCGTGTCCTCGGCGAGGTCGGCCAGGCCGAATCCGGCCTCTTCGTCGTCGTAGGCGCGTATTAAACCCTGGCGGTCGGCGGCATTGCTGCTGCCGCTGATACTGTGGCGATGGCCGGGGCCGAAGCTGCGGCGGGTCTCCATGCTGATGCGGGTCTGGAGGGATGAGACCATGTCGGTGCCCATGACGTCCGAGCCGTTGCGACCGGCAAGGCGGGTGCCGTTGGGGTCAGTGCGCGACAGGTTGAGCAGGTAGACACCGGCAAATGTGACGAGGAAGCCGGAGATGAGGGACAGAGTGTTAATCGTATCGGTGGTGTTGAAGCCGCTGAAGAGGATAAAGGACGCGCAGAGTGTGGCAGTTGAGAAAGTGACGTAGTAGAGAGGGTTGACACTGGGGTAGGTAGTTAGCAAACGCAGCGCACGCACGGTGATGCGTGGGGAGGGTGGGGGGGCTGCACACTTACATATTGGTGGGGAACTGGCTGAGGGCCTTGTTGAAGTAGTTCATCTGCGTCAAGATGCACACAGCGGTGATAATCATAAAGACATAGGTGGACGGGTGGGTGAATTGGTTGTTGCCGGAGAAGGTGAGCTTCAGGGCAATGCCAAAGGCCTTGATGGCCATGACAGAGATGGAACCGACGAGCGAGCAGATGCTCAGGTAAATAAGAGGGTTCCGCTTGCCGTAGACGGGGGCGAGCTTGTAAATGGCAATGACGGAATAGACGGTGACGGTGAAGGAGTAGATAAGGAAGCCGGGCTGGATGGCGTCGTGCAGAATCTCGTCAATGGTGGAAATGTCCTCGTCTGGAGGTGCGTGCAGCACAATGATGACGGCGCCGATCAGGCAGATGGCACTGCCGAGCTTGCCCAACGTGCCGAGGATCTCGTCAAGGAAATACGAGCTCAAGACGGCGCCGACAATGACACTGAGAGCGCCGAGGGGCGTGACGAGAATGGCGGGAGCAAAGGCATAGGCGGCAAAGTTGCAGATCTCACCAATGACCACTGGAGCTGTTAGCAGATGGGTAGTGTTTTAGCTGTCAGAGAATGGCAGCAATGACCTACTTGTTGAAATGCCAAACCACCATAATGGACTCTTGAGATAGACGAAGCCATCGCCCTCAAAACCGTGACGTTGCTCGGCATGTATCAAGCCCTATACATCCTCTGGTTAGTAAAAAGTGACTCAGGATCTCGGCATCACATAGCCGTATCTATATGTATGGACTCGAGGCCCGGCGGGCGGCGGTGAGGAGACTCGTCTAATTCGTTCGCACCTTTTTTGTAATCACGAAGCTTGTGCCTGAAGGATAGAAAATGCGTTAGCAAAAGATCGTGACATGTGCGCCATGGGCGCGGAATGTAACATCGAACGGGAGACAACCGAGGCAGCGACGTACCGATGGCAAGACTGGATGCCATGGCCAAAGCCAGGCCGATGTACCTGCAGAAAAGACAAACGTCAGTATTATGGTCAGCGCAGGGCGCCAAAACACCCTTGCCCGGGTTGACGATCGGAACGCCGAAGGGGTAGACGAAGAGGGGAGGGGGAAAGGCCATTCGTACTTGTCTTCCAACATTGTGAATGCGTGTGAAAAATAAATGATCGAAAGACACCAAAGAGACGAGACACGAAAGGAAACAAGGAAACAGAACGAGTGTCGTAGAGCGCGCAGCCCCTAGTTCCCTTTGTTCCTTTGGCGGGAGAGATGTGTCTTCGTCGTATGGCTTTGTATCTGGTTGGGATACCTTGTTCGACGGCGTCTTGGGGGACCCGTAGGGACTGCACGCGCAGTATCGACAAGGAATGGACGACGTAAAGCGAGAGAGCGGCAGTAGCCGAGAAGTCGAGAAGGGGGTCTGTTGGCAGAAAAGAGAGTTGTCTGTCGATTCCGACTGGTACTTGGACGAGGATGCGATCGCCGTCTCGGGTTGGCTGTCGTCGATGGTCGCCAAGACAATTGGTCGCTGTCTATCAACTTCAATTTTTGCAAAAGCCAACAGAAATCGCCCCAAAAGGGTACACAGGAGGGCAAAAGCGAGGGTGATGTCCGCGTTCGAGGTGTATGCTGCGTAACAAAGCGACCAGAGGGGGTTGGCTGTGGTTTCTCCGGTGTGTCGTGAACAAGACGGACAGGTTGGCAAGAGGAACTCGCGCCGGGCGAGACGAGTTGCGTCGAGCGTTGGCGAAGGCTCGTTGTGTGTAGCGTGCAGTGTGGACAGAGCAGAGCGAGAGATAGCGCAAGCGGACCGTGACGAGAATATTGCCTCGTGGGACTGTTACTTCGTAGACAAAGGAGGCAGCGAGGGAGGGCGAGGGAGGACGAGAGAGGCCGAGGGAAGAATGAAGAGCCGCGGAAGTCGTGTGCGCCAGGCGAGGGAGGGTTTGGATCGTGCGACAGAAGAGGAAAGCGGTCGTGGGATTTTCCTGAATTGCGTTTGTCCAGGTCTATGTTCCCCTAATGACCCCTTGTTGGGGGGGCTGTTCGACCTATGGAGTGGTTGGCGTTGGTGTGTGGTGGTTTCGAACACTGGGCTCTTTTGGGGTTTCTTCACACCAGCAGATCGAAGAAAGGGGGGGCTTGCGCTATTCTCGTCGCCTCGTTGGTTGGTCGTTAGATGCTGAAGGGGAGGGGGGGAGAGTGATGCTATGTTCTGGAAGTCCCCGTCCTCGTATTTTGGCGCGGCGCAGGTTGGCTAGTTTGCGCCGTATTAATGCAGGGTCTTGCGAAGTAATACGTGTTCGCACGAGCAATGGTGCAGTTGGAGAAGCGCGCGTTTGTCACGCTTGGGGTAGGATCGAGGCGAGAGTGGTTCAACGAGGTGTGAAAATATTGAGAAATGGATTGTGATGTGGGATTTTGCAAGATGTAGCTTCTTGGCCAGTTTTGCAGTTGCGCCTTCCTGCCTCGTTTTCTTTTGTCTGAGGATGTGAGGAAAGCTGATGCGACAGAATAAGAAAGTAGAAGGCGCCCCTGTGCTGGGAAAGGCAGGTGCAAGGGGCGGTTGGTGGTGGGCGGCTCAGAGGCTTAGCCCAGGGGAAGCCGAAAAATTGGTGGGAAGACAATTAGGTTTGCCCCCGAATGCGCTGCAGCTGTGGGCTAAATAAATCCTTTTACCTGCATCCTACAGACCTTTTCAGTGGGACGCCCTTGACCAAAGGTTCGCAGTTTGGCGAGGAAAATAAAACACGCAATGTACGCCTTTCCCCTTGCAGTCATGTTCACATCACCATATCGTCTACATTTGCCCAGCCCGATGCTCAGCACGCTGTGGCTGCAGATGTGTATCCCTATTCTCTTCTCAGTTCCAATGTGTCTTCGTCGCGTCAGAAGAGAAATAGCCGCAATAACTATGAACTGTAGTACGCCTCTCCACTGGCTTCAGGACATGGATGCTGTGTTCTGGTGTGTTGACTGCACCGTTCCAATGCGGTAACTGGGCGCGCCGTGCCGTTCTCTGGTTTTTCTAGATACTTCGGACTCTTAGTTGCGTTTCTTCAGGTGCGATCGTCCTTCGTCAGACATGGGCAGATGGGCATATGAGCGCGTGCCCGAACATCCTTTCCTGTTCGTCCATGTGGAAGTCGCTGTATTACAGTAATCACGGGCTCGCTATCGGCGCGTCGGCAACTTCGGC